ATAAGACCTCATTAATCCTCAGCTTGTACAATTTTCAGTTTTTTAGAGTTGCCGTTTGTGGGAAAAAGTGTTAACTGGTTAACAATAACAACCCATAATGTTAATGGAACTGATACACTGACGACACGTGCATGGCTTTTTCTTATGCGAAAAGAAGTAGAGTTGACAAAATTTCAAATGAAATATAACTCAAAACTTTCATTGTACTATGTAAGCAAACCTGCCATTCTGTGTTGAATGATTTTAAATTAACATACTGCAATTCTCTGAGGTTTTTTCAGGATCCAGAGATTGGAGAAAAGGAACAGAAAGTTTCCATATAATCTACATTTTTCAAATCAGAAGTGGCATTGACCACTTGGATAAATCTTTGCCTGAATTGTCAAAGAATAATTGACTTTATTTAAAAACTGTGAATGATTAATAATAATATGAGAACCTTCATGAATAACAATATTATTATATTGAAATATTGAACACTACAATTTTGTTTAAATGTTCAATTTAAACTATCAAAGGTGTTCATAACAGATCTGAATTTCAATAATTTTAATGATTACATAGACATAATAACCATGTTATATTGTGATTTCAGAGTATGTGTTTGCAATTTATCAATGCATTACTATCTGAAACAGAAGATTTTGACTTCCGAATGCACTTACGAAATGAAATTGTTAGAAACGGACTTTATGAAAAATTGCGTAAGTAAAAGTTGTTTTTGTTTATTTTTTTTGTTTTTTTTAATATTATTTTTCCGTTACAGAAGACCTCAAAAAAGAAACAAACCCTGTGATAAAAACTCAATTTAATGTTTTCGAAAACCGCCGGGAAGATGACGCCGAAGAATGGCATGAACGTTTCGATAAAGTTAGACTGGATATGGATGATATACAAGACTGTTACGAAGTTTTGAAGAATATGACTCTTGAAACTCCATGCGAGCCATATTTTCTTAGCATATTACAACATCTTTTATTTATTAGAGACGATGTCAATACCAAGTAGGTTCATTTTGAATGTTTGTTAACTATAAATTGATGGATTACGTGTTAGATCATCATGAAAAATAAGAAATGAAACTTTTTGTTTTTTTACCATTTGTATTTGTAACTAACGTTACTGAAGGACATTTTCAAAGGAACACAATAAACCTTATTATATTCTTTTGAAAGTGTCCTTATAGGACGAAACCGCAGTAACGTTAGTTACAATTATAAGTGTTGAAAAAACATTGAAAATTTCATTTCTCATTTTTCACGTTTGTTAACTATTATCTCATTTGCCTTTCATTCTAGATCAGCCTATTTCAAATTGATAGAGGAGGTGGTATCACAGATAGTCTTACATAAATCAGGATTAGACCCTGATTTTAAGAAAAATCATATAGATATTGATCTCCAACCTCTTCTGGATGAGCTCAAAGGTAATTTCATGTACATCATTATGTTTTATTATTTATTATTATTTCATATTCCCAAATTGTTACAGAACAAGTAACGGGTATTAAAAAAATCTACTAACTGCCAGAATATATAATTTTTGAGAAATCAAACTTTTGGCTTTCTACTTCTCCATCTTTTCAAAAATTGTAGCAATCCTGTGAATGATACCTAATTCAATTCTATAACGAATGTTTGGAGGACAAACTGAATAGGAAAAAGTATTTTTTTGTATATTTAAATATTCATATGAATGTAGTTGTTTAGAAGGTACTTTTTCCTTCAAGTAAATCAATGTTTATATGAAAGTGATTCAAGCCCTACTCGGAACGATCGATTTTCATTTGCTATCGTCCAACCCGTGTTAGGAATCACACGTTAAAAAGTAAGACCTCGCTAATCCTTAGCTCGCACAAGTTTCGACTTCTGAGAGTTGTCTTTGTAGGGGTGCGACAGCTGGTTAACGAAAAAACAAGGGGCGGGTCGCTAGTGTTTTGTATGTAATTATTTGAACCACTAGGTAGTTACCTAGACTCCTAGACAACTGCACACTTTGAAAACAAGCTTTTCAAGGATATATTACATATGGAATAAAATATAAAGTGTTGTTCCATTTGAATAAATGAAAAAAAAGTTTAAAAGTATTGATTTACTGAAAAAACATATTGTGGTCAAATTATAATTTGATAATAACAAAAACACATCTTAAAAATATCTTCATAACAAACCAGACTCGAAATGAGTTGTAATAAAAATGGGGACGGTTGAATGGATCAGCTGTTTGACGTTGTTTTGGCATAACCTCTGAAATGCTTGGTACATACACTCAAAGTCTTATATTTTCCAAAAGTACTTTCCAGATAGAATCCGAATATGGAAAACAATGTCATTTAATTAAAAAAAAAGAATTTGATACGCTTCTTGCCTACTGCGTACTCTGTATATTTAAAAAAAATCAGTGCATTATTATCTGTGACTTTTGTAGGAAACATTTTTTGACAACTTCACTCCTTCATCTGAAACTTCTAATGGAAGCTCGGTGTGATATACACTGAATAAATGTATAATTAATTTTTTAGATAAACCAACGTTAGTGGAGAGCGCTGAAGTAGACAGTCTCAAAAAACAATTAGAAGAAGCTTTGGCTGCAAAAACAGAAGCAGAGGCTAAACTGGAGCTGCTTCAGGGACGAGCCGGAGCACCAGAAAATTCAGGAAAACTAGACCCAGCACTCGTCAGTAAAGTCAACATACCGCCTCCTCCACCACCACCAGGTATGGGCGGGCCACCACCTCCTCCTATGCCTGGCATGGGGGGCCCACCTCCTCCACCAATGCCAGGAATGGCGGGTCCTCCGCCTCCGCCAATGCCAGGTATGGGTGGTCCTCCTCCTCCTCCAATGCCGGGGATGGGGGGACCACCTCCCCCTCCATTACCTGGTGGCGGTGGGCCTCCACCTCCGCCTATGATGGGCGGTATGGGTCCACCGCCCCCACCAGGAATGGTACCACTGGTTGGTATGGCAAGGCCAGATCTGTTGCCCCACGGATTGAAGCCAAAGAAGAAATGGGAGGTGAAGGGTCCACTCAAAAGGGCAAATTGGAAAATGGTAAGTTCAGTTTGAGCTGTATCATGACCAATAGCACTACAAAGAAGTTGAAAAGCTTGGAAGTCTCGAAACAGCTGATGGTTAATATATAAATACGACCTCATACTTTATAGGGTAGCTGACAGCGTTTGTGACGCAGAAGTGTTATATCTAGACTTAAGCAACATCTTGTAGGTGTAATATAAAAATGCTCCATAAATAAATGTTAGCAAATAACTGTCTCACGAAAGATGACTCGTTGATGATCTCGTAATCTAAACACAATTCTGATTGAAATTTCAAAACTCTATCGATTGATTAGATGTTGATAAAAATTGAATAGCAATAATTAATAACACAACCATGCTTTCTAGATCATCAATACTATCATTCATTCATGATCTTTTTAAGATGTGAGTTGCATGCATGAAATGCATTTACTACATACCTAACGAGAAACGGTCACATAATTGACGCCTTTTTCAATAGTCATGAAAAAATACAAGTTTCTCAATTTTTAATCAAGGATTCCCGAACTATAGCGAGTACGATAAAACTGTATTGAAGTGCTTTGTTCCTCTTGTCTACGACAAAAGGTTCTATGAGGTTTTCCAAAGGTTTCAGTACTTAGTTCCTTTTAACAAAATTTTTCAAGTTGAATAATAATTTTGAGGTAAATAATTATTATAATTCATTTTACCAGAAATATTTGAACGACCTTCCTATGAGACTATGAGGTGGACATAATTGGTTTCATGACAGTTTTCAACATGTAAAAAGGACTTTAAATTTTTATCCAACATTTCCTGAATTGCAGCCATGGGAAAATCGTAACAAATCATTTTGTTCAATTTCTTGAGAGTACCAAAAAGGTTTCATAAGTTTTTTCAATATTTTCAGTTATTAATTTTGGATTCTGAAATAATTCCTAAACTACAGCATGAACGGAGAAATTGTACTGAGTATTTTGTTCACCTCCTTAATGGGAACAAAAGAGGTTATAGGTATGACTTATTCGGGAAAACACTTTTCCAGTTATTCGAAAATTTTAAGTCAATAACTTGTTTTCTTGGAGAGTTATATCAAGTCAAACTTTTGCAGATGACAGCCGTACGGACGGACGGGCAGACAAACCACAGAACTGTTCTAAAAAAATTATTTTTCGGTTCTAAACGACTTTTCCAAAGCATTTAATAAAAAGCATAAAATAAAATGTTGTGGTCTTCTGTGAAGACCATAGTATACTACTGATAAAGGCATAATTACAAAAATCTAAATGTCAATTGTAGAATGAATAATTTCAACCTTTCTTTCTCTTTCCAGATAGTGCCTCAGAAAATGACAGAAAAATCTTTCTGGGTGAAGGCAAAGGAGGAAGAATTGGCAGAGCCAGATATACTAGATGGGCTGGCTAAAAAATTCTCGTCTAAACCCACCAAAGCTCCTGAAGATGTTACAGATAAGTAAGTACTCTTTATGATTCCCTTGAGAGTTCATAGAGTTGATACTTTAAATGTAAATCAATGTTTAGATTCAAGGATTTCAATTTTCACCGCTAGATCAGATCACACTAATGCCAGAAAAAACTGGGTTTATCAGTTGAATTTCATCATCTAAATCACTGAGTTGGCAGGTAAATCGATATAATGAATGTCATAACTTTGAAACATGGATACGATCATATTGTGAATGTTATGGTATTCCTATGTTAACTGATGAATTTGTCTTAACATTTTTGAGATTTTTTGAGGGTTTGTGAGTAATAGTAGGTAATATTTTTAAGGAGGTTTCTAACATAAAAATATTTACTGGTATCTTACTTTTTTTGAAGTATTAGTAGAGTTCATGGAGTTTTTCTCAGTTATAAGCCCATTATTTTACTTTGAGGAGTTTCTGTAGAACGTATTTCTTTGTGAAAAATATTTAGAGTTTATATAGTGGTTTATCAAGGTGAACTAAAAGTTTGCCCTTTCTACACTTATATAAAGTTTTCCATTACAATATTAATTTTTCCAGATTGTAGAAGGTGAAAAACAGAAAAATGACTTTTGTACAATAAGGCTTTCTGCTTATTCAAAAATTCTATTGTATTTTTTAACTGCTACGGTCTGGAAAAGAAAAGAATTAATATGGGAAATAAGTAAAACTGTTGAAAAGATGAAGAATAATTTACCTTAACAGTTGTCCTAGCAAAACTTTAGAGAAATTAGAGATTCTGCAATACGTAACAAACGGAATACTGTTTACATCACATTGTATTCCTTCCACTAAAAAATCAGTATGCAATGCCTTGCATGTCACTGTTGGATTCTCAGGAACTGAAAAATCAAGAAAATGTGAACTTGTTGTAGGCTTGTGCTTTGAAAGTGAATGATTTGATTTTAATATCTGTGTTCTTAACCATAATAACCAAATTTATTTTGCTGTTGAGAAGTTCAAGACAAACATTGATTATAGCATATTTTTCAATTCATAAAGACTTTTAATTTCAATGAATTTCTGATTTTAACTTCAGAAATAACCTTCAGGTGAAAGCCTTTCACAGAATCATTTCATGACAGTAGTTACTAAAACAACTAAACTTCTTGCAAAAGTCATTGTAGCTTTGATCTTTTGATATTTCTCGATGTAGAATTATTCCTCCAATAATATAATTGAGTAACCAAACTTCTTCATTTTAGAAGCAGTAACTGTGGAACGTTGAAGAAAGTAAAAGAACTGAAGGTACTCGATGGAAAATCCGCACAAAATATTAGCATTTTACTTGGAGGATCACTTAAACATATGGCCTATGATGATATTAAAAAGTCCCTGTTAAGATGCGATGAAAGTGTATTGTCGGAAAACGTTACAGAACAACTCATTCAGGTAGAACGATTCTTATTTGTTTTGCGATCAATTAATACAGTGAAATTGAATTGAACTTTCAGTACTTACCACCTCCAGACCAACTTACTAAGCTACAAAATCTCAAAGAAAACTATAGTGATCTAACTGAACCGGAACAGTTCTGTGTTAAAATGTCAGAAGTGAAAAGGCTACTACCAAGATTGAAATCCCTTAGTTTCAAGCATCATTATGTAGAAATGGTACAGGATACTAAACCAGTAAGTGTCACATAATCACATAATATACTTTTACTTTCATCTTAGGAATAATATTTTTCTATAAAATTAGGATATAGTTGCTGCAACAGCTGCTTGTGAAGAAGTGAAAAAGAGCAAAAAATTCGCCAAGGTGTTGGAACTGATATTACTTATGGGAAATTATATGAACTCTGGAAGTAAGAATGCTCAAGCGTTTGGGTTTGAAATGTCCTTCCTCACGAAGGTGAGTACAATGGTATATAATTAAATTTGGATTTAGTTATGAAGTAAAAAAGAGTAGGGCTTGTATTATGTATAATATCTTACATTTATTCTTGATTTGTAAATTTTAAGGTGTTCAAACAGAAATTGTAATTTTTAGTCCTTTTGCGAAGTAGGCTTTAAGTAAGTGCCAATTCACACAGAAGGTATGTTGGGTGGAAACGTGATGCAGACTTTATCTTACATAGAAGTGACGTGGAAGATATGTGGCGTCATGTTGCTTCTATGTGAATTGGACCATAGGAAAGATGCTCAAAAACTAAAAGTCTGCGATGTTTAGTAACTGTAGAAAGTATGTGTATTGTGGTTAATTCTTTAAACAACAATACAACTGTGTTCTACAGTCAATGCACATACTACTGATGGCATTAATTTTTTTATTTTCTTCCAATTTATTTATATATAGCAACTGAATTGTTATTTTTAACTTTTCTAAAAGAATATTACTTTTGATAATTATTTTTTTATTTATTCATGAAAATGAGCTGATTAGGCTAACTATATAGATATAACATAAAAAAAAAATATAATTTCAGTTTAATACTAATACATAATAATTACAAAACAATGTATTCATAGACGCAACTGTCAATATACAAGAACCGCAGGGAGGAACTATACAGAAATTTTAAGTAAATAATTCAATATTAATTGAAGAAAACAGTTTCTAAATGAAGTCCAATCCAATGAAGTTAAGACACCAATTTGATTAGCCAATCAAAGTATATATCGAAGTACCTACAGCAAATAGTTCACAGTAACAATTTTACCTGAGTTTCTTATTGTTTCTATAAATTTGCTCAAAGTATTGCTCATTCTGTAAGCCACGTCCATTAAAATACATGAATGTTATATCACTACAAAGTTATATAATCTTTGAGTTGTGAGAGAGTATCTACATACACACAGTGAAACTGTTCCGTGACCACATGGTTCCTCAATTCATATAACTGTGATTGAAAATAATCCTTCAAAATAATTGTGTGAGCAGGATCTGGTCAAACAAGTTGTCTCATTTTCTGATTGTGATCAGCACTATAGTAACCATCTACATCCTCATTGAAATTACTGACCTTCTCTTATTACCAAAGAGTCGATCATTTCCCCATTATCTTCAGCATTTGTTGGGAGTCTTTAAATTATTCAACATTATCAGTCCAAATCTTTATAAAACAGATTCGCTTCAAGTAGTCAACTTCGAGCAGTCAACAAGTTTGCTAGGGCCAATCTTAACAATTTTCTGTGATCCGGTTGAGGCACCTTTATTGTTCTATCCAGCCAGACATCCAAAATTCCATCTAAAGTTACTAAATCTGATACACTTTGTGCTTGGGCAAGAGTAACAAGTACCTTTGTAAATACTTGTGATGATAGTAACACTCTTGACAGAGTACAAGAAACATAGTCATTAGCAATGATAGTCTTCAGCACAATATATTCTAAAAAATATTTTTGGAAAGAAAGAAAGCAATGTTGCAGCTCCTAAAACTGGCGAAAATCTAATGAAAGTTTCAACAAGCCTTATCAACATCACAACTACTTCATTTTTAAGGTCAGATATCAGGCCGGCACACACTTGCATGATCTGAATACTACGTTTATTTGAAGTGAGTTTCTTCTTTTTTTTTTGAAATTCATCTGAATACTACTTGTACATATAACAAGTTCATTATGTCAATGTCCTATAACGCCTATTATTGTTTATTGAAGTGGGATATACCTGGTAAATGGCTTGTTTCTGTAGTTTCTTGGAAAGAATGGACCGGCATAGAATGGTTTGTGGAAAATTGCAAAATCATGTTTAATATCAACTTTAATGATGGTTACGTCTACAAAATTTATTGATTTATTTATCTGAATTTCAGTGGTGATATTAATCGATAGGTGAATGGAATTAATAAATTCGACAATCTCCCCCGGCTTCCTACGTCTACTAGTAAAACAGTCTAAGATATCACTTACGTATCTACCAGTTTACTGGAGGAGATACATAAATATGGTAACTAAGTTCCCATATTTTGGTTACCATGGTTAGTTACCATATATGTGTGATTTGATATGAAGAATTAGAACCTCTGGCATGAAATGAATCTATAGAAGACGCTTTTCCCACACAAGAATAAAAACACTGTCTCATGGTGCGCGTTTATCCAACCGAGTTAACATCATTGTCTCCTGATAATAATTTGGTTAGCGAAACAGGCATTTAAGAGTTGATGTTTTTGTTCTGGTGTAGAGGAAGTGTTTTCTTCAGGTTTCACCATATGTTCATTTGGTTGGACCGAATTATATTTTAATAATCAGTGTTATGTGCAATATTCAACCATACTTTTTCTTCAAAATTTTACTGGTGTGAAATTAACCAAAATTTATATTAATATCGCTATTATATCATAGTTTTTGTTATAGCTCACTTCCACTAAAGATGTTTCCAATAAACAGACCCTCCTTCATTATATTGCTGAAACAATAGATAGTAAATGGCCGGAACTCCTCAACTTTTACGATGAAATGCCACATATAGACCAGTGAGTTGATGTTTAAATTACCTGTTTTAGAGATTATGACTCTGATTCTATTTTAGAGCTAGTCGAGTTTCATTGGACACTATTCAAAAGACACTCCAACAGATGGATAGTAATATAAGAAATCTGAAAACTGATTTAACCAATAATAGAGTGCCTCAAGGAGACGATGATAAGTTTTTGGAAGTTATGGAGGTAAGCTTGTTTTTAAAGTTTTTATTATCAATATCCTGTTATACCATGATTAAGAGCAATATTTTAAGAAACCCCTTCAGTTTATCATGTTTCTATGAAATTTGTGTAGAAAAAGTTCAGTAAATTGTACCTTTCATTTTAAATAAAGAAGGAATCACTAGGTATTTAATAGGGGTGAAGACAGCCCCAATACTTTAGTAATTTTGTATATATATTGGTGAAAAGTGGCTTTCTTGAATGAAAAAAAACAGATATGATACAAATTTATTACAAATACGATAGAAACAGTGTTAGGACATTGGAAATGTATTTAAAATTGTGTCCCAAAAGATGACAACCACATCGAACTATGTTTTCTGTTTCTTTCTGTTTTTTTCCGGATATCTCCGGATATACTCAGAATTTCAGAACATTTTTAATGGCATAATTGTTAGTCAAGTAATTGCGCAACTTTGCCTCAATTTAACCATCTTTGTATCTCTCATAGTTACCGAGATCCCAATGGTGAGGATCGAATTTGAAACACCCTGTATATTCTGTTTCTTGAAGTGAATCCTTAATATTCAAGTTGTTGGACTTACTGTTGAAACAAGCATTTCAATATGTTATATTTTGCCTCAAAATTTTTGTAATCGTGTGACGCAAATCTTTCTTTCAACATAAAAAAATATATATCCACCTCCAAGTGCAGAAATTCGCATGGAAAATGAGATCTCTACACAATTATTGGGCATTAATATTGACGAATATGTCAAACTTGAAGAACATATAGTGAAATTCGAAGACCATATATTCATTTTCAAATAAGCAAATGTGGATGGCCGTTGACTTCAACGATTCTTGAGCGATGCTCATGCGACGTTTTTTTTTTGGCTAAAATTCATGCCCAAAATTTACGAAAAAATTTCATCAGTTGTTGATGTGCTGGGGCGTCCAGAGCGAGCGTCGTCATTCACATTTTTCTGATCTTCGGTGAAAAAGATTGTACCACTTGTAAACATTTTTCTGATTTAGAGTACAATCACCGTATGCCACTGTCAATATTTCACGTGTTTTAAAGCACTCAAGTCCATTTTTACACAAATTTCATACAGCATTATTATTTTGACAATCATAATGCATGCCTATTTCCTCACATGTATATTTCATGTGTATATTTATAGAATTATATTATGACAAAAATTTAAAAGGGTTGGGAGCAGAAAACTAGTTTTAGAATAGTTTGATAATGTTTCTCTGTGATTAATGGTTATGGTTATTCCATCAAGAACAATAAAAGATTTATTGCTGATATTTTCCAAGAATGTCACTCTGTTCTTATTTCCAGAAATTTGCGGAGGATGCCAGAGAGCAATGTGATGTGATGCAAAAAATGTTGAAAAAGGTGGAAAGCCTATATAATGACCTGTCCGAATACTATGCCTTCGATAAACAAAAATATCCTCTTGAAGAGTTTTTCACGGATTTGAAAACATTCAAGAATGCTTTCATTGTGAGTAAAATTAGAGTATTTCATTGATCTGGATATTTTATATGATAAAAATATTTTCAGCAAGCCAAAACGGATAATCAGAGGGAGAGAGAGTTAGAAGAGAAAAAAGAGAAGGCCAGACTGGCCAAGTTGAAGCAAGAACAAGAAAAGGAAGAGAGGAATAAACGAAGGCTGATAGATATGAACCCATCCGAAACCCAGGAAGGGGTAATGGACAGGTAGGTTTTGCTAATAAATCAGTCTTTTTTTTTAATCTCCATTTGCTTGTGAAAGCATGTAGATTAACCTTTTCCTAGCCTACTATTATTCTATTGCCTTAATAATTTCTGTTGAAATATTAATGTGAATATATTTTTTCCAGTTTGTTGGAAGCCTTATCAACAGGTAGTGCATTTGGAAGGGAACAAAAGAAGAGGAGGGGTCATAGGCCAGCGGGAGGTAGGAAGATAATTTTCATTGTTTTGATATATGGATACCTGGGCTAAAGAAACATTCATTGTTTTTACATCGACAGTGGTAGCATATTCTAGTTGATATTTATCAGAACTAGAGAAGTATTTGTTTTTTTGTTTTTTTTTGTCAACAGATTTTTTTATCATCATATAAGTGTTATATCACAGTCAATATAGGTTTCATCTGTGGTTTGTTAAAAGGCAACATGAAAATTCGGGGACATGTAAAGAGTACTCTGTAACATTGAAAAGTTATCACAAAACAATATTCGTAGAAGTTTCAAAAAAAAATTATTGTAATTTTTGTTTCCTGAAATTTTTTCAAGTAACACTAGTATACACATTTTTTTTAAACAAAATGCAGCTGCCTGAGCATTCTCCAAGTATGTTTAAATACCTCTATCTCTATCGCCAGCTCAGGTTCAAATAAATTATATGAAAATTGCCAAAGTCTAGTGAGTTATACTCTTGCTATAACTACCAAAAAATTTTGCGAAAGTGTCACTACATGCAAAAGCATAGGGAATAATTCTCTATTGTTGTTATTATTAATAAGCAAATGTATGTGAAAAAATACTTGGTCAGAGTATGAGTATCTCTTATATGGTCAGAGGCAAAGTAGAAATTTTATATGAATGTTGGAACTTTCAACATCCATTGTTAGCAATTTGAAATCTATGATAATCAAAAATACTCGGACCAGGTTCAAAATATTCAGATGCGTTTGAAAGAAAATAATAGCAACAAATTAGAAAAAATACGTTTGAAACTCAAAATATATGATGGAATATTCAGATTTTTTAATTTTTGTAAGTAGCTAATTTTGCAATTATTATTTGAATGAATGTTTTTTCTTGATACATCAACAACAGTTTTAATAAGTTTTTGTTGTGTCATTAGGTATGCTATAAAAATCTATTTTGAAATTTTTATGTTAACCATATATAGTTAATGAGGGATTTATTGAAAATTTAACTTGTGCTTTATTAAAATATTTTTATTGAAACTGTCCCCTCAAACATTGATCTTTAATTCAATGTGTATACCACTGATAATGTATACCGCAGTAGCAGACGAAACGTTTGGTACTTCAGGTTCCATTGATCACGGCCTACCAGCTATGATTGTGTTCTTTTTAATCAGCAAGAATTGTTTCTGTACCCAGTTATTCAGAAATTTGATATATTTACCAAAACACAAGTTCTTTAAATTTTGACTAATATTACTTAATGTGACAAAGACTGCTTTTTGGAATTTGTGGGTATGTTTATTCAATATACGCATTTAAATTAAAATGATACAAATTATCAATTCAACCGATTTTTGTTTAGCTGAGAGAAGAGCCCAGTTAGTAAGATCAAGATCCAGGACCGGTCTCATAGCAGGCAGGGAATTAACAAGGTGAGTAAAAAAAATTGTGATTCAAAAAACCTCTTTGTTTCTTTATATGTCCATGAAATGAAAATTTGCATTGTCTTCGACTTTGCAGGGCAACTTCCCTAAAACATGATGTCACATTGTTTGAGTCTGATTTGGATGAAAATGAATTTGGCTATTCCACAACTTCGGTGTTTTTCTGAAATATCATCATGTTTGTATATGTTTTTTGAGCAAAGAGCTTTTGTCGTGCTACAACTTTTTTAGACAAGAAAGTGACTCTGAAATCTAATATTGGTGAAAAATCATCATTGAGAAAAAAAATAGTACCTCACCAGTTTCAACAACATTATTGTATTTTTTCAGAAAGTTGCTACTCACACAACACAAGTTCACAAAAGAAATTTTTTTTAAATTTCAGAACATATCAAAATTATAAACTTTATTTTTCTGACCTCCATCTTCCCAAAAAATTGAACTAGTAAATAACGAGAATACTTGAAAGAATTCCGAATTCCTGGGTCACTCTTTTGTTTGAAATAAGTTTCATTTGCCTGCAGCATTGCTTGTCTTCGAAGTCATTTTTTCATTTCATAACTAGTCGCAATTCATTAGTCATAAGAAGGAATGCATCGGATCTGCGTGCTATATTTTTTGTAATAATATAGCTTCAGAGTCTCATTGTTAAATCCGTGAGTTCGGTAAATAATGGGAATCGATGATGATAAATTATGTAACAAAAATTCGCAAGGTTTCCTTTTCCTTTAGAAAAAAGTATCACTGTGTATTATTTAATTATGAATGAAATATGGAAAACAAAGTTTTAACAATTAAGCTGACAATAGAGATATCCGACTTCACATGACCTTGAATAAAAGAGATGAAAATTCTCAATTATTTCATCCCTGTAAACAAACATGAATATATGACATTTCGGCAAGATCACACTTGCCATATTCATGTGCTCTGCTTGGTAGCTGAACTACAGAGTATTTTTTCTGAAGAACGACCTCCTGGATGACTTACATTATTCTTTTCTCTTTCAATTTTATGTGTATTTATTGTAACATCCTTCTATAATGTTTGTTTGAAGGTGGTTGACAATGTTTCGTAGTGCATTTCATTAGTT